TGGTTATTCCTGAATCAAAGAAGTCTTGATGCATCATAGAGTATAAATGTGGAATAAGTGCTTAGTGTTTTCATTAATGTCATCATACTTTCATTTCAGTAATAATAAAAATGGACAAAAAGAGTAAACACAATCATTAACACCCAACTATAAGATTATTATAGAAGTTTGAGAATATCATCTGAAAAATAAGTAATATATGTGTTTGCCTTATTTTGTGTGACCATTTTTTTTGCTGTATCATTTGTTATTTATGAAATAATGATGAAATCTTTTCGTGTTAATATTTTTCAAAATATTTCTTTCTTTTATTGTAATGAGCTAAATCATTTAGCATATCTTATTTGCTAAGTATGGTCAATCATGTTTTCAAAAGGATAGTAATTGTCATTTCATAAACAGCTCATGATACAGCAAAACAAATTTGTTACAGCAAAATGCTAAAATATTATCTTTATTTACAATTCTTTAAATAATAATCCCTAACTTCTATAATAACCTTATAGGAGGATGCTATTACCACATTGCCACTGGGTATACGTTAGGCTCACTGTTCTGTGAATTGCGTATACACATACATGGCTTCACAAGAGCTCAGTCATCAGGAAGTCAACGAGTAGCCCTACCTTACCTCATCTGATTTCCCCATTCCTTGAATTTTCAGATTTTTTTTTTTTTTTTCAAATGTAAGAGCAATAAAACCTTTTTTTCTTTCTTTCATTTAAAGGACAAGAAGAAATAGGTGAGACTGGTTTGTCTAGAATATGACTCCTAGGTGCCTATGCAAATATGCAACCATCTATGTGTAAACACAGACAGGAAAGTAACAGAACAGTGGACAGGGCACTTAAGTACATGTTATCCCTGCCAGTAAAGGGTTAAAGATAAAAAAATATTGTCATAATGACAAAATATTATATGCTCTACTTGATGATTTGTCAGGTATCCTGATTCATGATTAACCAGACTGTAAGTTATTTCTACTGTAACTATGTGTCTTCTATGTGTTACTCCTGCACAGCAAATAACATCTATGAAAAAACTCAATTGCTTACATTAGAAGGAATTTAACAAGAAGACATAAACTCATGAGGGCATCTTGTTCTACTATGATGAATGTAAGTAAACAAAGTATCACTAAATGTTCATTTAAAGAATTTTATGTTTATCATGTTCAAGTTAAAATTAATGTATGCATGTCTGCCATAATACAATAAAATATCTTACATCATACATACATATCATCTTGATTATCATAAAAGTATTATTTTGATACAATTGTGTCAATATTTTTCAATGTGGCATCAACACCTGTCTGAAATAAATTGAGAATATATAAATACATGTCTATGTCTTGGAACTTTCGTAGATACTGCTCATGTTGACTTCAGCCTAGACTTAAATAGATGATATTCCCTCTTTGATTTGAACATTATTGCATAAAAACTAAATATAATAAGAAAGTAACTACAACTACAGTAACTAGTAACTAGAAAGCATATAATGATAATTCAAGATGGATGCCAACTCTTAAGTAACAAACTACACTACAACTACAGCATATAAGATAATTCAGATAGTAACTATTTGATTTGAACATTATTGCATAAAAACTAAATATAATAAGAAAGTAACTACAACTACAGTAACTAGTAACTAGAAAGCATATAATGATAATTCAAGATGGATGCCAACTCTCAAGAGTGGATAGTGAGACAAATCCTAGCATCTGCTTGTGACATTCCTGAGTGCTTTGGCCAAAGCCTATCAGGCAGTGGGCAGAGAATGTTTTTCCTTTTGCCTATCTATGACTTGGGGACCATTTCCTCATGGAACCCACTTAGCTCACCTAGCATGCCAGGTGAAAAGGCAGTTTACCCTTTCTGTGGGTAGGCCTCTCAGGTAGGAAGACTGGCAGAGTCTGCCTCCTGAAAGCCATCCATTGACCCATGGGGCCTAAAGTGCATGAAGCCAGGGTGTGTCCACTTGCTGGTGGACCACGGATCCATATCTCTAGAGTCTCCTGCTCCTTTGATTAACCTAGGACTGCATGGTGCCCAGTCGAAATTAATGATCATCAAATGGCACTGCAAGTCTTGATCATGTAAAGATTATTCTACTATCACTATGTAACATTTGTTCTAAGAGAAACTAAAACAAAGGAAAAAAATATGGAAAACTAACTTCACTTTGCAAACAATGCTAACTTGAAGATAAATGCACAGAAGAGAGCGACAAAGAATATCAAGAGAAGAGAGCAGGGAAGCAGAAGTAAAAAGCATTGAAGATGAAGAAAAAAGAAATAAAATACCGTAGATGCTCTAACTCCTGCTTGTTTTCCCTACAACAGTAACTAGTGCAACTTACTGCTTTGATATAGGCTGCTTTGCAGTTTTTCAGTGACTCAAGCTTTGAGTCCACACTGAAGAATGAGGCCAGATATGCATTGCCAAGGACAAGCCATGAATGGCCATCACTCATATCCAGCTTGAGGGCATTT